CTCTCTAGCAGTGGGGCGGTAATGTTCCCTGACTGAATTTAGGAGGGACTGATTGGATTAAGGGAAAACTACTCCTATGACAAACCCCAACTCAGAGAAGTCTGAAGTCTGGTATCATAAATGCAAAAGTAGCACACAGAAAACAAGCTTGTATACGGTTTTCAGGGTTTAATTTCGTGTCTTTTCAGCAGAATAACAGGGACAGGATAGAATAGAAAGGAACCACAAATACAGTGTCATTACAACCAAACCCATGATACACTAAAAATTAAATGAATATTTCTAGATATCACAACTCTAGTTTTCAAGAGCTAAAGATCAAGATAATGGCTCCTAAACACCACTAAACTGTCAGAAAATAGCTTTTTTGTTCTCATTGTTTAAGGTACAGGCCTAGGTGGACAGGGAAACGGGGGACAAAATGTTGCTGGAAAGTGAAAAGAGGACGGCCGAGCGCAGAGGAATTAAGAGAATGAGCGGTGGGCAGTGGGAAAGGCCCAGTCATGCCTTAGAAGGATTGAGAATGGTTATGCCTGATGCACCTGGATACGGCGCGACAAGGCAGGTCAGACAGGTTTGACTCAAATCCGTCTAAATAGCAGTACCATTGCCAGCTTCACTCCCTGCTCTGGCATAAGGTGGGCAGTTCCATCTCGGAAAGGGGTAGAATAGGGGGTCACAGACTGGGGAGCCCCACATCCACCTGGGATGGTGCTCAAGGTACTATTCAGCCCGCTCCCTACTGTGTTCCCAGAGTGCAGGCACCCAGGCCTCTTCATCCAGCAGGGGCCTTGTCACCACAGCTCAGAGCACAGACTCATGGCATTGAGGTCAGGAGGCTCTGCCAGCAAGTGACACAGCTTACAGTGAAGGGGCAGCTCAGGGATCCCCATCCACCCGAGGCCTCAAACACCACTCTGCTCAAACACCAGCAGGCGACCTCGGAGCACCAGAAAGCTGAGCAAAGCCTCCAACAAGGAAGGGAGAAGCGACCTGGAGAAAAAAGACTCTCCAGTGACAAGAAAACCGAACAAACAAAACTATCATGAAGAGAATACAGCCATGAAACAAAGACCACGTGTTTTTAGTTTAGTTTTTTTTTTTCAATCAGAAAACAAAAAAGATCTCATATAAGGGAAAAATGATAGCAACAACCAAAAATTCTTAAAAATCACTAGAAGAATTAGAATACAGAGATGAGGAAGTTTCCCAAAAGCAGAGCAAAACTTTGAAAAGGGAGAAAATATGAAATTAAAGGATGAGACCAGGCAGTATCAGCATAATATATTCCAGAGTGAGAAAAGAGAAAATGGGGGGAAAGAAATAACCAAAGAATAATTCAAGAAAATTCCAAGAACTGAAGAATTCGAGTTTCTGGATTGCAATGGCTCAAAAGTACCCAGCATCCAGTATACAAAGGCACCCAGGCCGAGCACAGGAACAGGTCAGTCAGGGCAGGGTTTGTTCAGCTGCAGCAACAACCAAGCCAAGGACCCTCAAAGACTTAGAAAAACAAAGATGTATTCTTCAAGTTTATTTCACTCTAAGAGAGCGAGGGAGCAGGTGGGGCGCTCTGCACACAGCATAGTCATCAGAAGCACTGTAAGAACTTGCATTCACAATTAACCGCTGGGCCCAGAAGTGAAGCTGTAGCCCCTCAGCCCCTGGGCATGGTGATTATGTGAGGTCACCAAACTCGAGAAGGGAGAAAAGGCCAGGGAGCAGAGCTGGAAATATGTGGTGAACAATGATTAGCATGGGCAAAAAGATCCTGCAATCTTCCAGAAAGAAAAGGCAAGTCACACAAAAAGGGACCTACTTGAAACTCCTCACCAACACTAGAAGCCCGAAAGGACTGTAATAACACCTGAACATTTTTGAAAGAGGCTTTCTCTATAATTCTACATTATCGTTCTATCAATTAAATGTGAAGACAGAAAAGACAATTATCGACAAAGTCTCAAAATGCTCTTCTGGTGAACATTCAAGTGAAACAAGAGGAAGGAAGTCAGGGCACAGGAGATGCGTGATGGGCGGAGCAGGTACGAAGGCTGGGGCCCTTCTTCAGGATGGTGCCCCAAACAGAGGCCTTGACCTTGTGTGTATCTTGAGGGGAGACACAGGCAGCTGACAAAGCATTTGGAGTTCAATCAGTGATTGTACACAGAAAGCAAAGTAAACTTTTTTTTTAAAGCCAATTATTAGCTACAAGAGAAACAAAAAAATAATGTAAAACATGGCTCAGTATGAATGGCACTTAAGTCAGACGCTTGAGTACTACATGTTGATCTCAAAATCCCGCCATACCTACATGGGATGTGGTGAGCATGGGTATGGAGGAAAGACAGTAAACAATCACCTTCTAAAAGAGAAAGTCACTAGGTAATAAATACATATAAATGAAAACCAAGAAGCACATCATTCTATAGCACAAAGACAAATACCAAAATCATGAGCTTCGAGAAGTGCTTGCCTCTGGGGAGGCAGTAGTGGCAGGGTTGTTTTGCCTAACAACCCCTGCAGAGGCTATCTGACTTTTTAATCACATCTATGTGCATGTTAAAAACAGCAAACAAACAAACACGAAAGGTAAGTGGCCTTGATTTGGAAGGGAGCTCCCTAGTGGGTGAGCAGGATTTTCAAACAATCTGAGTTCTTCCAATGAGCTAATAACATGGATCTAAGTCCCACAAGGGCTGAAATACTTAAGACACACTCCCTGTCCTCAAGGGGTGGGCATTTTATTGAGAAGAAAAGGTGCAGAGAAAAGAACTCCAGTGCAGTGCAAGCGGGCATATGCTGACCCCGCTGAGCCTGGTACAGAGTATGGGGTAGCAAGAAGGGAGACTCCACCCCAGGAGGCAAAGAGATTGAGGAAGAAGAGGCAAAGGTGGGCAGAGATGAAATGAGGAAGACCAGCAGAACCTGAGAGAGGAACAGGGGGAGCATTTCTACAATAGAAGGGGGCTGGCTAACAGTGAGAGAGTGTGTGATTTGGGATAATGGACAGTGCTGTCAATAGAAGTGAAATTTTACTCACAATAGGGCGGGGGGGGGAGATTATTAACAAGGAAAAGCAGACTCAGACTCAAAATCACAGAAGTCACTGTTAACTTATTACATTTTCAGTGTCCTTGAACACTATCAATCAGGATCCCTGTAACATTTTTCCCACAAAGTGTCTCAGGTTTACCATCCCTGCTCATTAGTAACACTGCTGCCACCCTAGTCTTAAACCCCTCATAGCTGAAATCACCCACTTCACAAAGGCTCTCCAAGGCCTGCCTGCTTGGCCCGTCTGGCAGGGCAGCCTCCTCACTATATTTCCTTTTCACACTCCAAAGACACTACCCTTCTTTGTATTCCCAGAATACTCCCTGCTCTTGGCTGCCGCAGGACCTCTGCACATGCTGTTCCTTCCAGAACACATTCCCTCCTCTACCTCCCTGTTAATTCCTACATACCCTTCAATTCTCAGCTCAGGCCTCAATTCCTCATGGAAACAACTATCCCTGGAGTCCCTGTCACAAGCTATTATGCATTCCTTTTCTTCTACCAGTTTACAATTTAACCCTCATTTGAGTGATACCGAATTCATGGCCACCTCACCTTCTAGCCCAGCGGTTCTCAAAGTGGGGTCTCCAGAGCACAGCAACAGCTTCCCAGGTGAAACTTTTAGAAGGCAAGTTGTCAGGACATAACCCCAGACCTGCTGAATTAGAAACTTGAGATGGGAGGCAGCAACCTGTGTTTTGCAAACCTTCCAGATGATTCTGATGCACACTCCAGTGTAAGAACCACTGCCCTAGACTCCATGACCGCATAGCCCAAGGTGGTTTGCACTCCTTGATGTCCCCTGGAGCCAAGCAGTGACAGACAACAATAAGGACTTGGTAGGATTTCCTGGTTGAATGAATGGTGAAAACCTTTCCATAGCTCCCGTAGGTCCCCTACCTTATTAATTCTAAACCCCTCTGTCAAACTTTAGAAGCCCCCATAATCAACACTGAACTTGCTGCAGACCTCTGCTCTAGGCCCCATTTGCCCGGCTTTTCTGGGTTCAAAACTTGTCTCTTCATATCTTATCATCTGTGTGAGCATTTATAAATTTTTCTAATTTCTCTTGGCCTTAAATTCCTCACCTCTAAAATGGGACTAATCATAGTACCTACTTCCAAGGACTGTTGCGATAACTAAATGAGACAATGAGAGACTCATGCCTGCGCATACATGTAAGCACTCAGCAAATTTAGGAATTATTGTCATAATAATTATGCAACTTTAGTGGTCTGTCCTCTTGGTCTCAGCTTTCTTACTTAAAACTGACCACACACATTTTTTCCCTCGCAGAGTACCCACATCTAACAACCACCTAGCAACCAGGAGGCCTGCTTGAGCTTCCTCAGTTCCACCTCCTGGAACAGCTGGGCTCCTCTAGACAGGCTGGGTCTAAACCGCACAAGTCTTTTTAGTACTCAACCGAAGTCACTTCCCAGATTCCCCTCTCATCTCGGGAATCAGATCTTGGTAACTCAACTGGTTAGCAGGTGGCTTCATTTCAGTGTGTGCTGTCTGGTGGCTAAGATTCAAACGGAGCTCACACTGGGTGCTAGTTCTAGTGCAATTCTGTTACTTGGTAAAGTATGAATACCAACAATTGAAATATATTCCCATCGAACAGATCTTAAATTAATAAGAAAAAACAAGAACAGTTTCTGCCTCTAAGAAGACAAACCTGCCCTGTCTCGGAAGCGGCCATAAGTGATGACAGAAACGAGAACTGCACACACGGAAGCGCCTGACCACTGGGCCTCAGTGGGCCAGGATCGTCCACCCGCCGCGCCTCGGGAACCCCGCGCGCCTGTACACCTAGGAGCGGCCGCTGGTCGGAGGGGACCCGCAACACTTGGCTCCCCAATAGTTAAATGCTGAGTAATTTTCATGCGGAGCAAACAATCAGAGCCGGGGATATGCCAACGACAACAATATTTTTATCCTACTTAACCAACACGGCTCCGCGGCATGACCGCGGGTGTCTCCAGGGTGTCCCCGCGCGGAACGGTCCGGAATCGCCGGCCGGGACGTCCCCCTCGCCGGCTCTGGGAGCGACTTGCACAGCAGTTCCACGCGTCGGGGAGGGGAGACTTGGGGCAGTGAACTGGGGCCGCGGTACGCGGGGTCCGCCGAGGACCGCAGAGCCGCCGCCGGGCGGGGTCCCGCGGTCACCGCGCCCCGGGGCAAGGGACCCTCCGCCGGGCCGCCCGGTCTCCGCGCCAGGGCCTAAGCGGTCGAGGGGCTGCGTCCAAGTTGGCTGGGTGCTTTGCCGCAAAAGTGGAAATGGAGAGAGGTGTCCGAAGCCCCCGGAAAAGGGTGGAAACAGGAAGCGCAGGTCCCGGCGGGGAGGAAGACCCGGCTGCAGGGCCGCCCCGGGGCCGCACAGAGCCCGCCTCCCCACCCCCGGCCCCGCCGTCTCAGCGCTGGGGCGCCGGGGAATGAATGAGGCTCCCCCGCCAGCCACCGGCGCGCACTCACAGGCGACGTAGGCGAACAGCGCGATGCCCAGCAGCAGCTTCATCCTCCTGCGGTTGACGGCAGACACGAGGCGCAGTAGCGCCTTGCTCACCATCCCCAGGAGCGCGCGGGTCCAGGGCCCTGCCGCTCCGGGGCCAGCCTGCTGCACAATGCGCTGCGGCGGCGGCGGCGGCAGCAGCGGCCCGGGAGAGCCCCGCCCCCAGCCTCCCTCGAGGCCCCGCCCCCGTGCCCCGGGTTTCCTGCTGGCAGAACCACTGCGCACGCGCAGCTCCGCCCCCGCTCCGTCTCCTCCCTTGCCTTCCCAACTTTCTGCCCCTCCGCCTCCTCTCCCTGAAGGCGCAACTGCTGCCTCTCTCACCTAGGTTTTCGAAGATTGTAGCTGGGAGGAGTGGCGGGGCGTGTGCAGCGCATGCGCGTACCGGCATGTTTTATCCGGAGGTGCCACCCGTGCAGTGGACGGGTAAGGTGAGGGGCCAGCCTGAGGGCGGGACCGTGGTAGCAGAGTTTCGGAACCCAGCCCAACTGGAGACACGCGGTGGGTAGTCAGATGTTGCGATGAAAAGAAACATTTATGCTAAATCTGGCCATGTCTTTGAAGTTCATTAGATGCCTCCCTCAGAAAGTTGACTAGTTCTCTTGGCTGTTTTGTTGACTTCTGTAGTTACAGTAGAGACAGCGAAAATGATTAATCCCTAAACGTTGCTAAAGTAAAAAACCTAATGCATTTCTCTCTGCTATGGTCAACTGGGCTGCCTTTTAATAAAAAGTTTATTATTATAAAAAAGTAAAGCTCGTGGTATAATTAGGACAAACCAGGACAAGGAAAGGATGCAATTAGGCTTTGTCTCTATCTAGAGAAAAACACTGAGTATGTCATGTATGTTCCATCCCAATCTTTTTCTTGAGTGTATATATTTTAACATAGTTATGGGGGTGAGTTGTGGTGGTGTAGTGATTGCATATGTGGTACCTGAATTTATTTCTTTGATAAGCATTTATTGAATGCCTACTACAAGCTAGGAGGTGTGTCAAAGTATACACAAATACCAGAAGCTCATGATGGGGTACAGCGAAACACTGGTCTCATAGGGGAGAAAAAATGATACATGCAGATCTGTGTGTAGCTATGTCAAGAGAGACCCCAGAAAGTGTCGGGGAGCTGCAGGCTACAAGTGCTGATCTTCAGCCACAGGGAGATCTTTAGCCAGCAGTGTCTCTGACCTCTGAATGTCAGGCCATTTTGTTAAGCTTAACAATCGAATACGCTTCTTTAACTTTATGAGAAAGGTCACACGCAAGCTATCAATACATTCCAAGCATATTCGGTTGTAGGTGAGGGTTAACAGGTATCAATTCAAGCAGGCCAAAAATTGTGGAATACATGCTATTTCTGTACAAAACTCCTTAAAATCCAGCATTCCTATCTGAGCGTTTTTCCTGACACCACACGTTATTGCCAGCTCCTCCTGCCCCATTGGATTAATTATATGGAAATACTCTCAGCAGCTGCAGATAGAAATGCTGCTGCTGTCATTATTACCACCCAGAAAGCTGTTGGTGGCCCAAGGCCCTGATTTCCAGCTCAACCAACGCCAGAACTGGGGAGTGAGTAATAATGTGCACCCAGTGGCTGTGCAAACGCCCAAGGGAAAGGAGATGCCGAAGAGGACCTCCGGGCATCAGAGAAGCCATGGGTTTAGGGAAGTCCACACCCTCTCCTCTTCTCTTTTCAATTCCTCCAACCGGCCCACTCCCACCTCCCAGGTGGGACTCCCACGTGGGGACAAGAGTCCCCAGGTTCGGGACTCTTGTCTCACCCCACCTTGACCTTGCTATCTACCTAATTTTCTCAGTGATGTGTGAGCAAGAGTATCTCCGAGCAATTACCAGTTACAAGACACTGTTCTTTATATGTGGGGTAATTAAAACATGAATCATAGTATGGCTTCTCTCCTAGGTTGTTAAAAGCCTAAGAAGAGTAGAAAACCAGCATTTATGAAACTTCTGCCATGTGCCAGGGACTGTTATTCGGGATGCTTTCATATGTTTTCTCATTCAATTCGGTAACAGCCCTGTGATGTCGGGTTGCTGCTGTCTTTACTAGGTGAGGAAATTGAAGCTGTGAGAATGTAGTCAGCGTCCACATAGCTGTGCATGTGGGGCTGGGGTTTGAACCCACGCTTTTTCCTACACGAGGATGCTTTTCTGTAGGAGCGTGAAGACATGCAGAAACAACTATAATTCATGGTAGAAAATGGTGAGTGCTCTGGGACAGGCTCAGATGAATGGCTAAGGAATTTCACAAAAGGGAGAGACATTGCTCCCAGGGAAGTGCTGGCCAGGTCAGCTGGTACAGGCTCACCCACGCGGAGTGTTAGCAACCCCAGTGTGAATGTTTATACCGTAGACATAAGCAGTTGCCACACATCAGGACTTTTTTTTTTTTCCTAGCACACTTCTGCTTTCAGGTGAGTACAATAAGAGGAAGGCCTTGCAGAGCAGGAGCTAGGTGATCTGAGTTTTCAAAGGATGTGTAAGACTTTTCCTCATACACATTGGGCAGGGGTATCCCTCCGGAAGTAGCAAGGTCAGGGGCCTCAGGAAGGGAAAGAATCCCATAGGGGACAGTGGGGAACTTTGTTTGCCTGGAGGAGCAGGGAACAAGAAGAGAAGGTATAAATAATGTTGGAAAGATTCTGAAAGGCCTTGAGGGTTAGTCCAAACCAAGTCACTCATATCTTGGTTAAGGGTGACTTCCATGGCTGGTCATTCACCAGTCGTCTCAGCCTCCATCTGCCTTTCTGGACTCTGTGCTGTTCTGCTGGGGCTGGAGTATATACACCACATCTTCCGCTCCCTGGTTGGTGCTGCGGTTGGTTCTCCTTCTGGCTTTTCCAGCATGGCCATCGCTGGAGGTTGCTGGAAGTTGCTAGCACTGGCCATAGCCACAGTAAGAGTGGGTGATTCTGGATCCCGGAAGTCCAAAGTGAGGCAGCACCTTTTCAGAGGTCCATTACCCCAAAATCAAGGCCTCTGTTCCAGGCTGATTCACAGCAAACCTCCCACGGGCACTTGCAGCTTCCGATCGCTAGTGTTGCTCCCTTCTTTCTTGCTCATCCAGAATCCCTCTGCTCCCTTTGGCTCTTTCCACCGCTTTGAACCCAAACTGCTTTGTTAAATTCCTCCCGTTTGAAATGCTTACAACAGTTTTCCTGACAAGACCCTGATGGATACAACTTCCTCTAAGAAATCTGAGAAAGAAGACTTGGTCTGAGGTCAGCTCCTGAGCTGCCTGTCATGAAGCTGCCCCTCCTTGCTATGCCAGCTCTGTCCTGCGTCACTGCTGTTTTCCTGCTGGTCATTGATCATAATGCCTGCACTGGAGTCCCTTTCTAGAGGATATTACTCCCTTCCATGGGTCTCAGGAAGAGGGATAGACGGGAGGTAGGCCTCGCTGCCCTATTGCTTTATTCCTGCCGCATCCCCACTGTCACACCAGAATAAGTGAGTGCACGAGACTTTGGGGAGACACATCAACAAAAGGAACTTGAAATTGCATATACAACATTCTCATTCCCATGAGTCATTTCATTTTTAGAACAATTTAGATTTACAGAAAAATTGAGAAGATACTTCAGAGAGTTTCCTACCCCACACCTGTTTTCCCCTGTTATTGACATCTTGCTTTCATTTAGGATTATATCACTTCCTATCTAGTGTTCCCACTTCCATCATGACTTATGACTGTTGCTGTAGGCCGTGCTCCCTGGCTGAGGTAGTGTCTGTCAGGTTTCCCCACTGTAGAGTTATCCTTTCTCCCCCTTTCCATTCTGTCCTTTTGAGATGAAAGTCACTCTGCACAGCTCATACATAAGGGGTGGGGAGCTGTGCTCTACCTCCTTGGGGATATAGTGTACGTGCAAATTATTTGGAATTCTTCATTAAGGGACATTGGTCTCTTTCCCCCCATTTACTTACTTATTTGATTATTTATGTTGGTATGAACTTGCAGAGATTTATTTTATACTTCGAGTTATAATGCAATACTACTTTATTTTATTGCTAAAATTCTTCCAGCTTGAGTTATTGGGAGCTCTTTCGGTTGGCTCGTGCCCCTTTGATGTACCCACATCATTGTGGTTGGGTTTTTTTATAAGCATTTCCTTACTTTCTGGCACTATAAGATGCTCTGGGCTCACCTTGTACATTTTCTGCCCTAGTCCTAGAATCAGCTATTTCTCCAAGGATCCCTGGTTGCTTTTACTGGCAAGTGGTACTAGAAACAAGATCTGGGTGCTAGATACTCTGGCACTACTGGGGTGGTGTTTCTAGGCCTTCGTAGCTGACAGAACAAAGAAATATGTGTGTGTACCAACAAATATTTCTACAGGTAATGATCTGTATCTCTATTAAGCTAAACATGACTTCATCCTGATGTTTCCAACTCTAATCTATTGCACATGGATCATTCTAGCTTCCTTCCATCCCGACAGAAACCAGGCTTCCACCATCCGCCATCCATTTACTTAATTTTCCAGTTCCAGGACACATGTATGAGAGTTCTCTGACCACTTCACCACTGGGGATGACCATCTGTGCAGGCTTCCCCGACACACCGCATTCTTCTCCTCCATCCTCTGCTCTCCCCCCACCACCCCACCATCCCACTACCCCTTAACCACCCAACCCTGGAATTCCTCTTTATTTTCATGCAAGGCAGTTTGTTCCCCCTCCTGTTACCCCAGCGGCTTCACCTTCCTCACCTAAACTTGCTAATAAAAGTGTCTTAGCAAATGCAGTTCCCTCCTTAAGAAGAGTACTCTGGTGTCATCCTTAAAGAATCCTTGAGAGCATGCTCAGGATCAGAGTCTGGTCATTAATGTATAGACAGTGGGGTGTGGCTGGCCATCTCTGGGTGTCAGCTGCCATCATCTAGGCAGGTTTCCTGGCAGCACTGGCCGGAGTGGGAACAGCGGGAGAGGCACCTGGCACAGAGGGCCAGTGCAACAGTCCAGATGGACAGGAACACAAATACACTAGCAGTCCTGTTGGAAAGGGCATGGCAATAAATTTGAGGCTAATTTAGGATGTAAAACAATAGAAGTTCTAGTGGATTGTAGAGATCAAAGGGGAGAAAGAGTAATCAAATAGGACTCTCATGTCATATGCCTGGCTGACAGGTCTTCCTGAGGTGTTAGTCCATGCATGTGTTTTTCCTCCAGGGTATTTGCATTTTAATGAGACTCAAAGACCAGAATTCAAAGTTGGCAAAGAGGTTTCAAATGCATGCCAACTCCAGCAGAAATGTAGTGTTGCCTGCAGCTCTGAGTTTGGAGGGGCTCCTGCATCCAGACACAGCAGGAGAAGTGCTGTGATGTTCGAAATGCCTGAATGGTTGGGGAAAGGTGGGGCCAGGGCTGGGAGACCTATGGCACTTGGTTGTCTTTGTTCTTTCTCTCTGCAAGTTCCCTTCCAGTTCAGGAATTTTATGCTGAATTTTAAGTGCTCAAGATTACCATTGGTGGAGATAATTTT